GGCCTTGAGGAGACTCGAACTGGTGACCACTGGGATATAATGAACAACATTTTAACTTATTTTTATCTCCGTCAAGTGAAATTCAAGTACTTTGGATAGAAGCTGAGTTCTTTCATAAACTCGTTCTGTTATGTCAGTAGTTGTCTTGGGTAGTTGCTTGAATTGCAATAGAAGTCATGTGAGGGGGTGGTATGGGGTGGGGATGTTGCAAAGTGTTATAGATATGATGAATCATATCAGAATTCACCTAAATTCACCTACCTTCACGTCCGTCTTGATGCCATTTGAGTATTTAAAGGTACTCTCTTTTGACTTTGATAGAAAGAAAAAGCTTGCGAATGTCTAGTATTTTGTACTCGATAGAATCGAACAGTATAATGAACAAGATTTTTTTACTTTTTTTTTTTCTTTCTTAATATAGTCAAGTCGACTTTGCTTATTAAAGAGGCCATTAGTGTATACTTAACAGAATCCACACGTTTGTTAGTTTTTACCATCTTTATGCCACCTTAATCTGTCTTCTTGCTTTTAACTTCATTACACTTAGGTCAGCCTTCACCTCACACAGTGAAAAGGTGCAGCAGAGCAAATTCCATGTACAGGACTGAAGCCACATGTTAATATACTCGCTAATGGTTGACATCATCCACTAGATGGGGGAAGATTAAATTAATTTGAATGCCATTATGGTATGTTTGGTACACAAATTTGACAAGTCATCAATATTAAGAATGGCTCGATTAGAAAAGTTTTTTTTAGAGAAAGTTGGCCTAAAATAACGTTCTCTTGTGTGTCAGTTGAATTCATTATAGAGGCGTATTGTCTTTCATTAGTTGTCCTACGTGTGCAAGGCGAAAATTTTGAGAAATTGTAATTCAGTACGAAACAAAAAGTTTAAAATGTTAATTGAATCCTGGTCTAGCACTTTGAGTACCATCACTTTGGGTTCGTTTAACGGAACTTTTGCTTCTTGTAGAATTTTTTTTTAAAGAAGTTATTTTATATCAATTCCCTCTAAAAGCTATTCTAGTCCAACGAAATAATTTCAAAAATTATTCATGTTCAAAAGCAATTTTTTAACAATAAAAGTAGTTTTTGACTTTTCAAAAGTCTTGTCAAACGACACATTTAGCGCTGAAAATTAGTAAGATAAAGTTTCATTGCTACAGTTGTAGTCAAAGGAGAAATGATTTCCTAATCTATGCTTATAAGTAAATTTATTAAAAAAGAGGGTAGTTTATATATATACATACTAATATCCTACTATAATAAAAAAGTCAATTTTGCGATCACTACAGATGCAACAGTAAAGCAATAAGATGGTACTGTTCATTTTTCCAGATTTCACTCACCCGATCCTCCAATTTTCGCTATTGTGTTAAAAAAAACAAAAAAGTCAATTCTCATTCAAATTTCACTGCTCCGTTTTATATTTTATCTTTCTATTTTGAAAAAAAAAATTGATTTTATATGTTGGAAATTGGTTGCAGGCATCTGAAGTTAAAAAAAACTCTCCGCGCATTGTGTCCATGTCTCCTTGCCGCGGAGACTTCGTATCCAAGAGATGCGCGGACACGGTGTGTCCGTGACCAGATACGATGTCTCCGCATCCATGCGAGACTTTATTTTTGGTTTTTTTTTCCCTCCAATTTTCACTACTACGTTAAAAAAAGAGTCAATTTTTACTCAATTTTAACTGCTTTGTTGTATATTTTATCTTTCTATTTTGAGGAGAGAAAAAAAAGTCTCCGCGTTTTTTCCTCCAGTTTTCGCTACTGTGTTAAAAAAAAAAGTCAATTTTCACTCAATTTTAACTGTTTCATTGTATATTTTATCTTTCTATTTTGAGCTGTGAGCGCGGAGACACCGTGTCCATTTCTTCACGCCACGAAGACTCCGTGTCCAAACATGATGTCTTTGCGTCCGCGCGGAGACTTTTTTTCTTTTGTCTTCCAATTTTCGCTACTATGTTTAAAAAAAAGGGTCAATTTTCACTCAATTTTAATTGATTCGTTGTATATTTTATCTTTCTATTTTGAGAAATTTGATTTTATATGTTGGAAATTAGTTGCAGGCATCTAAAGTAAAAAATAAAAAAGTCTCCGCGCGGGCACGGACACAATGTCTCCGCGTCTGCACGAACACAACTTTTTTTTTTTAGTATAATAAACATCATTCAATGCACAAGATTCATTATCTTTCAATTTCTCACAGTGCTCACCCACAACCACTCATTCCCTGCACAAACCTAGAAATTTCGTCTGTCGACCTCTCTCCTCACACTGGGACAGCTTAAAAGGGAAAGCTAAAAATTTGGCCGGCTAACTTTGCATTTTTTCATAGGAGCCATCATCCCATCACGTAAAATATGTTTTTTTTTTTCCTTTTCTCTTCATGCCCTTTACATCAAAGCCATATAAATTCTTGTTGAAGAGAATAATGTTCAGCGAGTCGATGCCCCCTGGTATTTTGAATTTCATGTTCGCGCTGCGCGGAGAGATCACAGCAATGGATCTCTCCGCACTGCGCGGAGTTCAACTTTGTTTTCCCTGACCAAATTAAAACAACTTAGGATTTTTATTTCTCCGAAATGAATACAAATCCTTCAATATCAAGGAGGACCTAAATATTGAAGCTCACAATTTCTACTTCAATTCCTGATTTTGGGGTTATATGTCTGGCAATTTGAATGTTAGGGTTTCGAAACATTGTTCCCTTTCTACATTTTAAATCAAATCTTGATATTCGTGATACTGTTTATTTTATTGTGTAATTTTAGAACATCCTTATGTTTGCGTATGAGTTTTCTGGGTGGATGATGTATAAACTACATTGTTAAATTGGTGTTCTGAGATTTTTTTTTCAATTTCTTTTCTTTTACCTATGTTTGATATTATATTCATAAATTGAGAGGCGCCTTTGGTTGTTGTTTATGAGAGTGTGGTTACAGTTATTTTTTTTCTTCTGTTTGTTGTATGCATATGGATTCAATTTCCGAGCTTGTTAATTCTATTTTATTTTATACTTTGGCCCCTGGTTATTTTTACGGGAGTTCCTATTATACGCCTCCCTGAAAGTCATTAATCAACTATTTTATTTTATTTTATTTTATCTCCATATGCTTCTTGAGCTTTTGGTTATTTGTCATCTTCTAGAAGCTAGAAAAATTATGGTTTTCGGGTTTACTCTTTTTGTACCTTGTTTAAGATTATAGTTTACTTTTCCCCAAATTATGAGTGCTTATCTTATTCTCATATGCTGGTTAGTAAGGCTACATTTGAATCAAATAAAGTTTCTAATAGAGAATACAAGAAGATCATAATCAAAATTATCTCTAAAGATTCGGGGGATTCTTGACTCCTTGTAAAATGCTACTATAATAATATTTAATATTCTCACATTTTGGAATGTAAAAGGAATATGTACACACGTTTGAGTTATTATATGTTCATTGAGGAATTAAATATAAGAATGCAAATGCCAAATTCATAAATTAAATTAAATATTTCTTACTAAAATAGAGATATATAATAATTTTATAGTTCTTCCTATTTTGTGTAATGTGAAGTAATATAATAGGAGTAATTTTGTGGATGAAAGGAAATTGTACTTGTTTTCGATTTCCTTTGTTTTGTATATTACTTAATTAACAAAAGGGCAAAAGTAAAAATAATTTAGTGATGTCAGATCTGCTTTTCTTAGAGTAAGGTCAAATTTGTTTTGAAATTTTTTCTATATTATCATGGAAAAAATGTAATAAAGAATTACTTTTGATTTAGACAATCTATTGGCCTGAGCTTTGTTTGGAAGATATTATTTGGAAGGGTCATCAAAAAGGGAAAAATTCACAACTTGGGTATTAAGTGGGCAAATTCAATTTTCAAGTTTTAAATTTCAAAAATCAAAACTCAGGGGGTAATTAAATGTTATTAATTAAATTTAAGATTATATATATAATAATACCAATCTCCCTCTAGTCCGACCACAGTCACAACATTCATACGTCGTAATACCTTCTTACAGTCGCTGGTATCCAATCGTTGTCGATATCCTCCCACCGACATTCACTTTTACAGCCATCGGCATCTAAATAACTTCATTGGGCAAAATATAGAATCTACACAAATCGTCGAAAACTGAGCATCTTCTTCAACAGTAAACCAATTGCCGTTCAACGGCAACTAATCATTGTCGTCGGCTTAGATATTAGAGAGGAAGAGACATAGCTACAGTTGAAGAACAACGATGACTAAGCAACGATAGTGTAATTTAAATCTATTTTTTAAAACTGAAATTAAAAACAGCCACCGATGTAATTTACAAAGTACTCACGGCGATCAAATAACTTCAATTCTCACCGTCGAAATCTGGTTAATTGAATTTGTGAGCAATTAGAGAAATTAATGGCATGCGATCAGCGAGGATTTCCTTTTTAACAAGAATTGTTCTCAACTTTTAAAAGTAATAAATTTTAGTAAACTTAGTCATTAAAAGTACAGTGGTCTCTTAACATATTTCGTGAAATAAAAGTCAACGAAGATGAAGTTTTAAAACACATTGATTACGCGAGTAAAATTAGGAAACGAATGTTCGTCAATTCATCATAAAATACTGAATATTTGGTTATTGACCCATAAATTGTTAATTTCAATAAAAACCTATTTGAATGTAAAATTGCAAAAATCTCCAATATTTTATTAAATAAAATTCAATAACCACGGCTTCTCCAGTGTGTGCGGCTGCTCTTTTAAAGACCAAAAGACGATAAAAACCTAATCGCATGACTTGGTCAAGATTAAAAAAGGAAAATAAATTAAAATATTGTCAATTATAAAGTCAAATACAATGTACTATCATACGTGCTCCCTAGGGTATGTCCATTATCCAATTATATATGTTCCATCGTACCAAAATAAGTTATAAAAGAAAAAGGAAAGATGACAAATGGCCTATTATATGAATAAAAGTCAAGTGAAGGAGCTAAGGGCATACCCTCATTTTCATCCATTTCGCATTCCAGATGGCACGATATCCCCGAGTAGTCCTTGGTCCACTTGGGGCTGTGAACTTATTGCCTCGTGCACTTCTCCAATCTCGCCTGCAGCAGGGACGTGCTGTGATTGTGCAGCGTGGAGTGAATGAGAGTACGGCAATCCTACAGGGTAGTGAACGGAAGGGATCAACCGGCTTGCAAATAAAGCCTGATCATGAGAAATAAGTCCACCTCTAGGGTATCCAACTGAATGGTGACAGTGCTGCCCTTCGTACGTTGTTATCACGACAGATGGATCCTCAGACGAACGTTCAACTCTTTTTTTAACCATGCATTTGCTATTTGTACACCGATAATAACTCCTGCAGAGAAGATGGTGCTATCAAAGGAAAATTATTTATTTTCTTGATTTCAATACACATGTAGGACGTGTTTAGCATGCCGTAATGAACTCAATATGATTAATTGGCTCTAAAATTTTTCATTTTTGAACATCATTTTACATTAAAGATCATCCATGAACGGACATTAACTTGAATGAAACCAAAATAAATAATAAAAACTTCATTTGACGTCCAAGTGCTATAATTAATGAGCTATAAATTTGGAAGTGCTTTAACTAAAAAGCAATTTTCTGTAGATCAAACCCTATTACTGCTCGCCACAAAATCAAATATTTGAAAGGAGAAGGCTGCTAATCGACACCAGTTTCATAGTACTTTAATTTCCTTTAGCATAGTAAGAAATAAGTTTAACAACCATGTCATGATGCATTGTTCTGTAACAATGTAACCATGTCTTCTACGAGGTTCAATCATGATATTTATTCATGTGCCTAACTTATCATACAATACACATCTGATAAATTGTACCCACGTGAGATGTGACGCGCTAAAAAGTCCACTCGACAGTACTCTTCTCGACACAATGCTAGAGAAATAAACAAGTCATCTCTAACATGTATAAATGTGCTCTACCTTGACGATGTATGTAACTGTAGAATTATATATATTTTTCCACTAAATGAGACTATAAACTAAGAGATTAACATTATGCGTTTATAAAGAGAAGAACAAGGGAAAACCTTGGAAATGGACTATTTTTTACAGCTTTCTGTCCATATTTGCGCCATCTGTAACCATCCTCCAGATGATCAACTTCACTTTTAGTAACAAAAGCAAAACGTGGCTGACGAATTCGCTTTTGTCCCTTTTTTCTAGCCTTGCTCCTGCAGAAATTTCAATCACGACTTTCAATGTATTTACTTGATTTTATGAAACCATAGGAAATATAAAGCTGGCAGCAATGATGTTAACTTATCAGGAAAACTGTACAATGTACATTCTGAAAGTCACAGGTGCAAACAGATCATAATTAGATCGACTATGATAGTGATAGGCTCTCAAATATCCCTTGTAGTTGTACCATTTACAATCAGTATTCAGTTCCCCAATATATAGGATGTTTACATAAGAAAACCATTGCAAGTTTGGTAGTACGGATATAATTACACTAAACAAAATTACCCGATAATGAATTATCATTTCTCAAAATCATTTTAAGGTGAATAACGATATCGTCATTTTTAAAGCAAAACTGTACTCTGTAGTGTGTAATTTTTCTGATATGCCTTTCTTCTGAAAAAGTAAATAAAAGTTGCAAGGAAAGAAATGAAAGTAGGAGTGACACAGCACGCCATTGCCGCCGCAATAACGTCCGTGGTCGATCCACGATTTTGTTTTTAACAAAATACACGTAAAAGCCGCCTCAATTTTCGTTATACTCCGCAAATACCGATGCCCCAAATTGCGTGCAAGAACAAATTCAAAGCTTCTTGACTCTGCAGAAACGGTACGGACAAGGAATAGGGAATAAGCATTTTAGTCGTGCTCTAGTGTTCTACCTATTTTTGCTAACTCAATTAATGAATTCCGTTTTTCCCCCCTGAAAAAGCACGTGCATGCACTACCCTACCCTACCCTGCACTCACGCTGTTTCCGCCGGCGGCTGGGAGGAGTCACCGGAGGCCATCGACTTCTCCGGCTGATCCTCCGATGAGCTCGAAGACACCGATGCCTCCACTTTTTCCTCCACCGCCGTCGGTTCAGTAGCAGTTCTCCGAGGAGCTGGAACTGAAACGTAGTCACTTGTGCTCTCTCCCCCAAAATTGGAGTCTATCCGATCGGAATCACCGACACCACAGCTGGTTTCTGCCGGAATATTCCACCCGAACTCGCTGAGTATGCTACTGTCCTTGTCACTTCCAAAGAAAAACTCATCTCCGCCACCGAGTCTCCAGCTCGACTCAGTTGGATCCATCTTCTCCTTACCTAGTAACTCTGGCAACTATATAGATACAAATACCAATAATACATAGGTGCGTGAAAATCTAGAATCGGCAGAGTATAGAGAATTAAACGCGGAGAGAGAAAGCTAGGGTTTGTAGAGGAGTGAGAAAAGAGAACGCGTACGAAGTAGAGCTGTATTTCATTTGATTTTGTGATCTTTTCGAAAGCGTTGTCGTGTCAATGCACACAGAGAGAGAAAAGTATTATAGAAAAAGATAAGATTAAAAAAAATCGCCATCAACCTCCAATAGTAGTGAGGAGGAGGAAAGGCTGAAATTTAAGCCAATCACAGAGGAGAATTAGAGCAAATTTGAAAAACTTTGAATTATAATTTTAACTTGATTTGAGTCCCATTTTTCAAACAATCACTTATTATTATTAGGTGTTGATTAAAATTTTAATTTTAATCGAGATCAAAAAGTAATTACAATCAAATATTTTATAGATCCCACAACTTTTCAATCAGAAATAACAATTTTCTCCGCCCCGACCCGACCCGACCCGAATCGAATTGGGCAAAAAAACTCATCCCGAACGGGTTGGCTTGGCGGGATTCGCTGCCCCGTCTCGGGTCGTTGGGCTGAGCAGGGCGGATATGCCTCGTCCCGAACCCGCCCCGTCAAGAATTTAAAAAAAAAAATTGTTTTGGACATTTTTTGTTTCGAGTGTTTGTTTTGGATATTGAATAATGTTATTCATCCTCACTGGGGATGAAAATATAGTCTACGTGACGTTAATGTGGTATTAAATGATAGGTGAAATTAAATAATCATTTAATTTCACCTTTAATTTAACATATCATTTAAGGCCACCTAAACTGTGTTTTCATCCCACTGGGGATGAATAACATTACTCTTGGATATTGATGTATTAGTTTGAACATTATTTGCTTTG